CTAGTTAAACCGTAAAAAAAAATAAAAAATAAATAAATAAACAAAAAATCGAAATCGTGAATCAGTCAAACTTTATGAAAAAAAATAGATTTTTTTGCCATATTCCCCAGGCCTGTATTAAATATATATATTTTTTTTTATTTAATTATATATATATTTCCTTGTGATGATTTTCCAAAACTACCATTTTTGCAAGCCGTTTTCAAAGGTTTGCCTTTTCAATCGCCTAAAATGAAGGGGTGCGTTCTTCACATGTGGATTACTCAATTAGCTGGATTTGGTTATTGACGATTTGACACAATCCAGGATCATTTCGTTCTTTAAAACTGATCCGAGAATTGTTGTCATTGCAACAGTTCTGTTAGCTCAAACCTGGTCGGGAGCAGGTTTGTCATATAAACAGGATTAGATAGGGTCAGTTCAAGCAAAGTAAATACTGAAAGTTTGTACCGGATTCTGATATTTTCTTACAGTAGTAGTTACATATAATTGGGAAAATAGTAGATATTTTTTAACTATATAAAGTTAAATATATTATATATTTATATTAATAAAACTTGTGCAATCTGCACCCCCAAAATGAAAGTACAAAGACTGCAACCTGGTGATGCAAATAGAAAACTTATTGATATGAACTTTTTAGATCCCTGTAGTACAATTTGTGTATGATAATAGACGTGCACAAGATTTGACTTTTTTAAAAGCAATAATACATTTATGCAGTCATAAACATGTTTTGACAGTTAATATGATGGTGCTTTGATGCTTCATAAAAGTTTCAGTCACCTTCACCAATATCAAAATCTTTAGTAAACATCCAGTTATTCTTTACACAGATAAAAAAAACAGCTACAATGATACTACTATGGCTACTATAATAAGGAAAATCCGCTCTAAATGTAAAACTAAATGAACTGCTCTTGACACATGAAAGGGCCAAGCATGCAGCCCACAACAAGGTGTAAAGTTATTGCGTATCATATTTAACAAACCGTTGACTATAGATTTTTCTGTAATTTAGCTCACATGAATAATTGAATATTAATCAGATGATGTCATTACGCTGCTGTGCTGTCAGCCAATCGTTGCATTGCTGATCATGATTTCGAGGATCGATAGATCAGTCCTTCACAACACACACAGCGATCTCGGATCAGTTCATCCAGACATTTTAATCTGATTCGCGATCTTGTTTGATGAACCAAATTAGCGAGAGATCAGTTATCAAGATTAAAAGATCTGGGATCTTGCAAATCATCTTAGATCATTTAAGCGAGGTACGAAGAACAGACCCCAGTTGTCATGAAAACGAATGGTCAAAACGAATAAACACGTTAACATGTAATTGTCCTGCATAAATCATACAGACTGCTTTTTTATAAAAGTGTTTTTAGTAGCTTGACAGCGTGGTCAGTATAAACTGTGATTATGTGGAAACAATCTACAATAAACACAGCTTCTTTAATTGGATATAAAAGAAATATAATGTATGGGTTTGAAATGGCATGGCAATTAACACATAATAACACAATTAAGAAATTATTTTTATATCCTCAAAAGGGCAGTTCACACAGTCATTAAAATTCTGTCATCATTTACTCATCCTCCATTTGATCCAAATCAGTTTTGAGTTTCTTTCTTCTGCTGAACACAAAAGCAGATATTTTGAAGAATGTTGGGGAAAAAAAAGTTATTGACAGATTTGTTTTGTTCCTACAACAGGTGTCAACGGCTGCTTTTTATCCAGCATTCTTCAGAACATCTTGTTTTGTGTTCAACAGAAAAAGGAAATACATAACCATTTAGAACCAGTTGAGTGAGTAAAAGGTATATAGGGCTGTGCAATATGAACAAAATAATCATATTGCGATTTTACAAACGAAAATTGCGATTGCAATTTTATTTGCGATTTTGGCAACTTTTTCAAACAAGCTACATACGTTCTAAATGCATTCAGTGCACAAGAAGTGCATAACAAAACTATTGAGTCAGTAATTTCTGTGCCGTTTTGACCCTTTCCAATAAGGCACGGGGCTTGCAAATGCTTGAACAATGGATACTAGTTTAGTCTGTTTGGGCTGGCTTTGATGTGTGCTTTTGTTTGCTTCGATGGACTTTGTCGAGATGCATTGATCATGCAGTTTTTTATGACACTGTTTTAAATGTTGGATCAGATTTGTAGTATTGCTCCGTTTTGTTGGAATAATTTACATTTACATTTTGTAATCCATATGGCTTTTATTCATAGTGACTTACAAATGAGGACAAGGAGGCAATTTACACAACTATAAGAGCAACAATGAAAAAGTGCTATAGGCAAGTTTCAGGTCTGTAAAGTCTAAGAAGGAAAGTATTAGTAATTTTTTTTTTTTTTTTTGGTACAGTTAGTGTGATATCCAGAGAGTCAATTGCAGATTAGGAAGTGAAGTGGAGACTAAATAGTTGAGTTTTTAGTCATTTCTTGAAAACAGCGAGTGACTCTGCTGTTCTGATGCAGTTAGGGAGTTTATTCCACCAACTGGGCAGATTGAACGCGAGCGTTCGGGAAAGTGATTTCTTCCCTCTTTGGGATTGAACCACGAGGCGACGTTCATTCACAGAACGCAAGTTTCTGGAGGAAACATAGATCTGCAGAAGTAAGAGCAGATAAGAAGGAGCAAAGCCAGAAGTTGCTTTGTAAGCAAACATCAGAGCTTTGAATTTGATGCGAGCAGCAACTGGCAGCCAGTGCAAACGGATGAGCAGCAGAGTGACATGTGCTCTTGTAGGTTCATTGAATAATCATATCACAAGTCTTAAGCCTTGCTCTGTGACACATCCTCTCTCCTGAATCCAAAATACTCCAAAATGACTGTCGCCGAATTTCTCCTTGGCACCAAATCATTTTTATTTTGACCTGCATCCATATTTTATGCTCTTTCCTCCTGCTCGCCTATTCGGTTCTCCCACTCAACTTCGTCATGCGCAGAGTGAGCTGGTTAACATAATAGCTATATTTGCCCGGTGTGCTACGTCAGCTCTGATTGGTTAACATATTAATATCATGCACACAAGAACATATTCTGAATAAAATTCTAAATAAAATTAATAGATAAAAATTGCAGCCTATAGCGATTTAGAAATTGCGTGTGCCTAAGTTGCGATTTTTTGTGATTGCGATTAATTGCACAGCCCTAGTAAATAGATGTTATTTTTGGGGGAGAACTAATAAAAGTATATGTAGTCTCATGAAACTGTACAAACAACAACATCCTGATCAACAGATGAAAGAACTCACATTGTCATTTTGCATTACAATCAACACCTCCATGATAGATCTCATGCAATCAGTTTAGCTCCAAATCACAACAATAACAAGAAAAATGTGTTTTTCTAAAGCATGCCGCATAAAAACGTAAAAGGTGAATGCTGTGACGTAATCTGTGAATTGACCCAAGCTCGCTCAACAAATGAGACCTGGATAATCCTATTTACCCTGATCTCCCCAGGCTTCTCAATGGGATGTATTCTTCAGACCTGAAAAGGTACTGTGAAATCCAACATTAATCCATTCCCTTGGGAAACTGATGATTATATTATGATTATATACCTGGATTGTGTGTGAATACAAAACAATGATGTCTTGTTTAATTTGTTTGTTTTTACTTTGACTGTGTATCTGAATTATGTCTTGCTTTTTCTTTTTTGGTCTATGTGTATGCATTATGTCGTTTTTATTGTCTATGTATGTGAATTAAGTCTTGTTATTTATCTATGTATGTGAATTAGGTCTTGTTTTTTATCCATGTATGTGAATTAAGTCTTGTTTTTGTATATGTATGTGAATTATGTCATGTTATTTGTCTATGTATGTGAATTAGGTCTTGTTTTTTGTCTATATATGCAAATTAAGTCTTGTTTTTTGTCATTTTATGCATATTAAGTCTTGTTTTTTGTCATTTTATGCGAATTAAGTCTTGTTTTTTGTCATTTTATGTGAATTAAGTCTTGTTTTTTGTCTATGTATGTGAATTAAGTCTTGTTTTTTGTCTATATATGCAAATTAGGTCTTGTTTTTAGTCTATATATGCGAATTAAGTCTTGTTTTTTGGTCTATGTATGTGAATTACGTCTTGTTTTTTATCCATGTATGTGAATTAGGTCTTGTTTTATATCCATGTATGTGAATTAAGTTTTGTTTTTGTATATGTATGTGAATTATGTCATGTTATTTGTCTATGTATGTGAATTATGTCATGTTATTTGTCTATGTATGTGAATTAGGTCTTGTTTTTTGTCTATATATGCGAATTAAGTCTTGTTTTTTGTCATTTTATGCGAATTAAGTCTTGTTTTTTGTCATTTTATGCCAATTAAGTCTTGTTTTTTGTCATTTTATGTGAATTAAGTCTTGTCTTTTGTCTATGTATGTAAATTAAGTCTTGTTTTTTGTATATGTATGTGAATTACGTCTTGTTTTTTGTCTATGTATGTGAATTAAGTCTTGTTTTTTGTCTATGTATGTAAATTAAGTCTTGTTTTTTGTCTATGTATGTGAATTACGTCTTGTTTTTTGTCTTTGTATGTGAATTAAGCCTTGTTTTTTGTCTTTGTATGTGAATCAAGCCTTGTTTTTTGAATATATATGTGAATTACGTCTTGTTTTTTGTCTATGTATGGGAATTATGTCTTGTTTTTTTGTTTGTTTGTTGTCTGTGTGTGTGAAAGGGTCTTGTCTGCTTTCAAAGTGTGTAAAAGATCTAAAATTGTTCTTTTATAACACGAAGTTTGAAAATAAAGTTATATCACATCATATCACTTCACATTTAGAGAGAAAATTGCATCCAAAATATCTCATACAAACACTTGCATACTCGACGACATGTAATGAACATTTTATCCAGCCTAACTTGTTTTTCAATACCGAAGTGGTTAGATGGAAACACATAATAAACAGATAACATAGGCAGTTAATAAAAGTTCAACAGTCACAATACAAAGCAATTAAACGCCAAACTTACCCAAAATATGATGTTGAACCCAAATAAGAAGTATTTGACACAGCAGCTGACCTCTGCTCCTTTAAAGTGATGCTGTTTTCTGCTCATTTTGTCCAGGCCACGATTCATTTGTGTCAAATCCACGATCAGCTCCGAAAAACTACACCAATCGGCAGAAATACGAGCCGAAAACGATTCATTTGTCTATATTTTAGCCGAGAAGGCTGCGAGCCAGCGACACATCGCAAACCACAACAATGCACCATCAACAAGCGCTTTTCCTCACAGCAGAATTCCTCCGTTTTGATCATATAGTCAACGGCTGAGGGGTTAAATGGGTGGGGAAATTAAAGCCCCGGGTCCCCCCTGAAAATCCCCGCTTGATTTGGATTGCTGTCATAAGATGTGTTGGATATTTTAACCTTGTTTTGGACGTCCCGAAGAAAACAATCCACTGCTATCAAACAATCCAGCGAGTGCAGAGAAGCGCGACACCGCGATCAGTGCACGAGCGCACTGTCAACTGAACGTGCTGCCAAAATAAAAGTCCTGATTTATTTAGCTAACAAATACTCAACGTTTCATTCAGAATCCGCTTAATTCGCCAAATATCCTGGACTTTTTTGAGGTTTTTAAATGCTACAATGGTACAAACAGTTTATTATTTTATATTTTGTAATTTAATATGGATTTATTTGTTCATTAATATTTAATATGTATTATTTTAAGAAGAATTTTAAGTAATTTAGGGGCGAGATCTGACTAGGTCGTTTTTTGTTAAATTAAAAATTAAATTTCAAAGATTTTTTTTGTGAATATATTTAGTTTATACTGTAAATAAAAATGTAATCCTTACAATTACTATTAGTATCTTGCTTAACTCTGTAATAATTTTCACCCCGCAAAAAGAGGCTGCATTTTGAATATCCAATAAATTGTGTGTAAATTAATACAAATTCATTTAACATTTTTTGTTGTTTATTGGTTTTGGAAAATACTGACATGCAGTAATCGACATCGAAAAGTTTTTCAAGATTGTCCTAAGATAAGTATGGTTGTTGTTCAATTGTTTAAGAACCATCTTGATTAAGGATCCACTTCAAATGTTGACTACTGAATAGATATTACTCACAAATCACTCGACAGCGGAGGGGTGCTTTTACTTTGTGATTTCCGGTTATTGTTGTTATTGATGGTCGCTTGTTGCTGCCGGTGGAGCTGTACTGACATGCAGCATTTCTGCCGCACTGCTGCCGTCTGTAGAGAATATAAACATGTTACTGTTTAAACATGAAAAAATGATCGAAACATAATATAAACACGCCTCTGAAAGCTGAGATTAATTTACGGACATTTTACATCTCGTTTTTGCTTCGTCACGAAAAAACTTGTTTTTTGTACAAGGGAACAAACTGTACCATGACGTCACTCGGGACTATTCTTGCAGTGCTTTTGAATGAACTCAAATCTATCATTATTTCCAAATAATACTTTTTTTTAGATTAAAAATGTTTTTCTTAAAGGTTGTGATGTGAAAAGCTTGTGTAATGTCTGCACAGATGTGGTCTTTATCAGTTGTAGCTATGTTAGATTGCATCTGTTTAATTCAATAAGTAGCCTAATCGTATGTATTCGCCATTCATTAATATTTGATATGATAGTTTGAACGCACACCATGGATGTATTCATCCTCTGCAGTGATTTAAGACAGCTAAAAAACATTGTTAACCATTTTAATCCTATAGGTGGCGCTATTGACCAGGCGCTAGATTTTTTAAATCATAGTATGAATACAATACTTCAATTTACAGACTTAACTAAATGCACTTAAAAACTGTATGTACTGACTGAATTATGGGTCAAAAAGGAAAATAATAACAACAACAATAATAATAATAATGATAATATTAATAATAATAATTCATTCATTTTCTTTTCGGCTTAGACCCTTTATTAATCTGGGGTCGACACAGTAGAATGAACCACCAACTTTTCCAGCATATGTTTTTACGAAGCAGATGCCCTTCCTGCCACAACCCATCATTGGGCAACTCACAAACTCATACACTACGATCAATTTTAGCATAACCAATTCACCTGTACCATGTCTTTGGACTTGTGGAGGAAACCTACACCAACACGAGGAGAACATGCAAACTCCACAAAGAAATGCCAACTGCTCTAGCCAAGGCTCGAACCAGCAACCTTCTTGCTGTGAGGTGATCATGCTAGCCACTGCACCACTGTGTCGGCCAATGATAATAATAATATTTATTATTATTATTATTCATTCATTCATTTTCTTTTCGGCTTAGTCCCTTTATTAATCTGGGGTTGCCGCAGCGGAATGAACCACCAACTTATCCAGCACGTTTTTTACACAGCAGATGCCCTTCCAGCTGTAACCCACCACTGGGAAATATTATTATTAATATTATTATTTATTCATTTATTCATTCACTCAGTTTTTTTTTTTTTTTTTTTGGCTTAGTCCCTACATCATCAGGGGTCACCACAGTGAAATGAACCGCCAACTTATCTAGCACAGCGGATGCCCTTCCAACTGCAACCCAGTACTAAGAAATATTATTATTATTATTATTTATTCATTCACTCAGTTTTGTTTTTTTTTTGGCTTAGTCCCTACATCATCAGGGGTCACCACAGTGGAATGAACCGCCAACTTATCGAGCACAGCGGATGCCCTTCCAACTGCAACCCAGTACTAAGAAATATTATTATTATTATTATTATTTATTCATTCACTCAGTTTTTTTTTTTTTTTTTTGGCTTAGTCCCTACATCATCAGGGGTCACCACAGTGGAATGAACCGCCAACTTATCGAGCACAGCGGATGCCCTTCCAACTGCAACCCAGTACTAAGAAATATTATTATTATTATTATTATTTATTCATTCACTCAGTTTTTTTTTTTTTTTTTTGGCTTAGTCCCTACATCATCAGGGGTCACCACAGTGGAATGAACCGCCAACTTATCGAGCACAGCGGATGCCCTTCCAACTGCAACCCAGTACTAAGAAATATTATTATTATTATTATTATTTATTCATTCACTCAGTTTTTTTTTTTTTTTTTTGGCTTAGTCCCTACATCATCAGGGGTCACCACAGTGGAATGAACCGCCAACTTATCGAGCACAGCGGATGCCCTTCCAACTGCAACCCAGTACTAAGAAATATTATTATTATTATTATTATTTATTCATTCACTCAGTTTTGTTTTTTTTTTGGCTTAGTCCCTACATCATCAGGGGTCACCACAGTGGAATGAACCGCCAACTTATCGAGCACAGCGGATGCCCTTCCAACTGCAACCCAGTACTAAGAAATATTATTATTATTATTATTATTTATTCATTCACTCAGTTTTGTTTTTTTTTTTTTTGGCTTAGTCCCTACATCATCAGGGGTCACCACAGTGGAATGAACCGCCAACTTATCGAGCACAGCGGATGCCCTTCCAACTGCAACCCAGTACTAAGAAATATTATTATTATTATTATTATTTATTCATTCACTCAGTTTTGTTTTTTTTTTTTTGGCTTAGTCCCTACATCATCAGGGGTCACCACAGTGGAATGAACCGCCAACTTATCGAGCACAGCGGATGCCCTTCCAACTGCAACCCAGTACTAAGAAATATTATTATTATTATTATTATTTATTCATTCACTCAGTTTTTTTTTTTTTTTGGCTTAGTCCCTACATTATCAGGGGTCACCACAGTGGAATGAACCGCCAACTTATCTAGCACAGCGGATGCCCTTCCAACTGCAACCCAGTACTAGGAAACACTTTTAGTTTATTCAATTCCCCTGTAGCGCATATGTTTGGATTGTGGGGGAAGCCAGAGCTCCCGGAGGAAACCCACACCAACATGAGGAGAACATGCAAACTCCACACACAAACACTAACTGGCCCAGTCTGGACTCGAACCAGCAACCTTCTTGCTGTGAGGTGATCATGCTACCCACTGCACCACTGTGACGCAGTACATATATACAGTATACCTTTATTGTATTTGTAATCTACAAACACAATAATAAATATGAATTGTTAATATTAATACAAATATTAATATAGTTGTTGATGTTAAAAAATGAAAACTATCAATAATGACAATATTGATATTGATAAAGATACATTTTCATTCATTCATTTGTTTTCTTTTCGGCTTTGTCCCTTTATTAATCCAGCACATGTTTTATGCTGCAGATGCCCTTCCAGCTGCAACCCATCACCGGGAAACACCCATACACACACTCAGTCACACACATACACTACGGCCAATTTAGCCTACCCAATTCCCCTATAGTGCATGTGTTTGGCTTGTAAGTGAAACCGGAGGAAACCCACGTCAACGGGAGTAGAGATACATTTTTTAACAATATTATATTCCACATTCAGAATATAAACATGTAGCTTATTGTACTTTTAACAGTGATTTACAGACACAAAATCACAAAGTGTGAATAAAAAAAAAAAAATCACATACTGTTTCATCACTTGAAGTTTTCTTTTCATTAAACCAGGGGTGTACACACTCGGTCCTGGAGGGCCGGTGTACTGGAGAGTTTAGCTCCAACCAGTGGTGGAAAGAGTACTGAAAAAGCAGACTCAAGTAAAAGTGCCATTACTTGCCTAAAAATGTAGTGCGAGTAGAGTAAAAGTATATGTTGTAAATATTACTCAAAGTAGGAGTAAAAAGTAGGCCTTTTAAAAGTACTCATGAGTAGTGAGTGTTACGCTGTAGAAAGCTGATGCGTTTACATGTAATTTGTTTATGTTTGTGTGTAAACGTAACATTCTGTAGTGCATTTAGTTATTGCCCAGCACACAACGCCATAAGACGTTACTATTAGGTTAGATTTAGGTTGTGATGTCAGGTGACCAAAATTCAATGGCTGCGTCCGAAACCGCATACTTCCATACTATATAGTACGCTAAAATCAGTATGCGAGCCGAGTAGTATATCCGAATTCATAGAATTCGAAAATCAGTATGCGAGAAGTACCCGGATGACTTACAACTTCCGGCAAGATTCTGGTGTGCATCCCATGCACACTGCGCTATCCCATGATGCCCCGCGAGAGAATTCATAAATGGAAGTAAAGCGACGCAACTGACGCAGGTAGGTCACATGACCATGACAAAATGGCAGATGTAGTACATCTGAATTCCATTCATACTTTTCACATTCATACTGTATAGAACGCACCTTTCTAACGGCCGAGTAGTACGTTTAAATTTAAATGCAGTACCTACTGAGTAGTAGGCGGTTTCGGACGCAGCCAATGTCTAGCCAGCATCTAATGACAACATTATGTTGACATCCAATAACAACAACAAATGACGTTGATATTTTGTTAATTTTAGGTTGTTAGAAAGTGACCAAAATCCAACGTGGAGCCAACAACAATCCTATTGATGCCAAATACTGACATT